TAGTTGAATTTAGATGTTATCTAGGGGACTATATGATTTGTAAAAGAGAATGGTTTTATCTCAGCATATGAGTAATAACCTAGTAAGGAGGCTGAGGATCTCAGATAGGTTGAAGTTGCTAAATTTTTCATGAACTAAAGAGCTGCCTTATTTCATTCACCATAACATCCTCCAAGTTCATCCACGTTGTGTGGTGTTTTGCAGATTCTAGGTTATTCTTCAGGGTTGCATAATATTCTATTGTGTGTATATACCATAGTTTGGTTATCCATTCCTCAGTTGATGGACACCTAGGTTGTTTCCATCTTTTGGCTGTTGCAAATAGTGCTGTGATTAACATGGGTGTGCATATGTCTGTTTTGTCATGGCTCTCACTTCTTTAGGATATATACCTAGTAATGGAATGGCTGGGTCAAATGGTGTTCTAATTGCAACTTTTGAAGGAATTGCCATACTGCTTTTCACAGTGGTTGTACCATTTTACAGTCCCACCAGCAGTGTATGAGAGACCCAATCTCTTCGCATCCTCACCAGCATTTGTTACTTTCCATCTTGTTGAACTTTGCTATTAGTGCTGGGGCAAGATGGTATCTCATTGTTATTTTGATTTGCATCACCCTAATGGGTAATGATTGTGAGCATTTCTTCATACGTTTTTTGGCCGTCGAACTTCCCAATATCTTTCATCCAACTTTAACAACAAGTACTTCATGGCCAACTTAATTCTATCTTTTACCCTTTACTATCCCATCGCGCCCCTGTGTTACTTCAAAACAATTCACAGACATTGTTATATCATCCATAAGCATTTTAGTATTATCTCTAAAATATATAGATTCTTGTTTATATCCTTGATGTTAATATTTTTTGTCAAATGATGAAGGAACAAGCTGGCAGTTATTTTAATGTTACATATTTTATTATGTTAAATCTTAAGCTGAAACTATAGCCATCTTTTAGAAGTAACTTACCATATTATTTAAAAATATAAATTTAACTTATTTAAAAACATGTTGTTCTGGTTACCTAGTGCCGCTCTGACAAGAATATACCACAAATGGGATAGCTTGAACAAACAGGAGTTTATTCTCTTACGGTCTGGAAAGCTAGAAGTCTGAGTTCAGAGTGCCAGGCTCTAGGGGCTGTGTGAAAGCCCCTCAACCTTGGGCTTCAGCTCTGCCTCTTGGTTCTCGCCCACTGAAGCTAGGGGCATGTCTTCATTCAGGCAGCTACTGGCTGCTGAGGCTAACAAGCCCAAAGTCGACAAATAAAATGGCACAGCCCCGATGTTACCAAACCACGCAGCAGGCCCTTAATTCAAGTCTCAAGGTTGGCAGAGCATGGCAGGCTGTTGAACAATGACACGGCTACATGCAGCAGAGTCCAAGCATGCCATAAGCTAGAGACCATTCCCAAAGCTGCTGCTTATATATGGGAAGCAGACCACATCCGTAAAGCAGCTTCTCAGCTGCTTGTGGTAGGTCCCACCATGGAATTGATTGCCAGTCTCATCATGGGGAATAACTACCACCAGTTGCCCAGCCACTCAACTTGGCACCTGTACAGATCTTCAATGGGTGGTATCTGTACAGATCTCCTGCACTGGTGACTCCAGTCCCCTAGTTCCTGAGTGGCAACCTTACTCCCTTGGCCTGGCACGCCCCTTTTCTCTCCCTCTTGGGTATGACAGCCCTGCCCCTTCACTCTTGGGCAGTGGTTAAGACTCCATTCCACTGACCCACATGAAGGAGCAGCCCCACACTCCAGAACCAAGTTGGTGAAGGTCTGGCTCTTTGAAAACTACGGGGCTGTGGTAGTTCCACCCCTAAAGGCCAGGGTCCTACCCTTGAGGCTAAGGCAGCTCTGCTTCCTGTTTCCTTGGTCTCTCCGCTTCTGCCCATTAATGCTGAAGACAACCTACTCCATGAGAAATCTTCCTGCCCAAAGAGCACTCGGCTTTCTTGCTCTGGCCAACTTGCTACTCCATTTCATGCCAGTCTTTTCTACCAGCTAATGCCCGAAGGCAATCCACTCCACCAGGAAGCTGCCTACCTAAAGGCATCCAGCTTTCTCCTCCGTGGGCTGGTAAGGCTGTCGCTGTCTTATGCCAGTTTCTGGGCTCTACTACTGCCATCTCTCATGCTGGTCTCTGTGTTCTGCTCCTGCCATCTTTCATGCCTGTCTCTGGGCTCTGCTCCTGCTGTCTCTCATGCTGCATGCTGGGGTGTCTCTGCCAGGGTCTTGGGTCAAGGACACACTTCACTTCTGTTTCCACATTTTTGGTATCTGTCAGAGCAGCACCCCACTCTCTTGGTACCATATTCTGTTCTGGTGCCACTCTGACAAGAATATACCACAGATGGGATGGCTTGAACAAACAGGAGTTTATTCTCTTACAGTTTGGGAAGCTAGAAGTCCGAGTTCAAATTGCCGGGCTCTAGGGATGGGTGGAAGCCCTTCAGTCTTGGGCTTCAACTCTGCTTCTTGCTCCCAGCCCACTGAAGCTAGAGGCATCTCTTCACTCAGGCAGCTACTGGAGCTGAGGCTAACAAGCCCAAGGTTGACAAATAAAATGGCACAGTCCCGATGTTACCAAACCACACAGCAGGCCATTAATTCAAGTCCCAGGGTCGGCAGAGCATGGCAGGCTGCTGAACAATGACACGGCTACATGCAGGGTTCAAGCGTGCAATAAGCTAGGGACCATTCCCAAAACTCTTTGTTATATATGGGAAGCACCACATCTGTAAAGCAGCTACTCGGCTGCTTGTGGTAGGTTCTACCATGGAGTTGATTGACAGACTCATCATGGGGAATAACTACCACCAGCTGCCCTGCCAGGCCCAGCCAAGTTGACATACAAACTTAACCACCACACATGTAGCCTAATGTTTAGGTACTGTCTTAGTTATCTAGTGCTGCCATAATAGAAATACCACAAGTGGGTGAATTGAGCAAACAGAAATTTATTGTCTCACAGTTTAGGAGGCTAGAAGTCCAAATTCAGAGCATTGGCTTTAGGGGAGGGCTTTCTCTGTGTCAGCTCTGGAGAACAGTCCTTGTTTCTTCTGTTACTGGGCAATCTTCATGTGGCTTAGCATCTCCCTTCCCCCATCTCTGCTTCCTCACTTGCTTGTTTAATCTCTTTTATATCTCAAAAGAGATTGACTTAAGACACACCCTGTACTAACCCTATCTTATTAACATAGCAAAGAAAACCCATTCCCAAATGGGCTTGTAACCACTGGTATAGGTGTTAGATTTGGAATCCATATTTTTTGGGTACACAATTCAACCTATAACAAGTACATTTTAGAATTTAAGAACAATCCAATTTCTTTTTCTTTAGTTTGTTTCTCATCATTTCAGGTACGTGCTTTCCAACATGCCTTCAGCACTAATGACTGCTCCAGGAATGTCTACATTAAGAAGAATGGCTTTACTTTACATCGAAACCCCATTGCACAGAGCACTGATGGTGCAAGGACCAAGATTGGTTTCAGTGAGGGCCGCCATGCGTGGGAAGTATGGTGGGAAGGCCCTCTGGGCACTGTGGCAGTGATTGGAATCGCCACAAAGCGGGCCCCCATGCAGTGCCAGGGTTATGTGGCATTGTTGGGCAGCGATGACCAAAGCTGGGGCTGGAATCTGGTGGACAATAATCTACTACATAATGGGGAAGTCAATGGCAGTTTTCCTCAGTGCAACAATGCACCAAAGTATCAGGTGAGAGACTGGGTATTTCCTTGGATGTGGACCTTGAATGTGGTCAAATAACGGCTGAAGTTGTTTTAACTTTACAGATTTTTATGTGGCAGCTTTGTATGTCTTTTTTTATATAACTTTGCTTCTTTGATAATAAGTTTTTAGTATCTCAATATTTGTTTCTTAATACATATTCTTCCATGAGCAATTCATGTTTCCTCTAGATCAGGGGTTGACAAACTTTTTCTGTAAAGGGCCAGATAGCAAATATTTTAGGCGTTTTTGGGTGATAGAGTCTCTGTCATAGCTACTCAACTCTGCTGTTATAGCACAAAAGCTTCCATAGACAATATGTAAGTAAAGGAGCATGGCTGTGTTCCAATTAAACTTTATTTATGGATACAAACCAGATTGGGCCCATGTGCTGTAGTTTGCTGTCTCATGCTCTAGATTATTTTTCCTATATCTTGGCACATCCAAATCTTCTTTTTTCCAGAGACCTCACCCCACAAATGCACATGTATGTGTGTATACACACAGACTAATCCTCTGCTACTTATTAATCCATTTTTGGATTCAAATCCCCTGAAGGCTACAATGATTTCCATAGTGATAGCAGGTTCAGGTAAACTTTTTTTGTTATTGTTCTTTTTGTCATCTTAGCCTTAAGCCATTTGATTCTGTAGTCATAATTATTATTCCTGTCTATAAAAAGTCATATTGTCATATTACCATAGATTCAACAGAGTCTGAAATACAATGTTGTTGTTGTTGTTGTTATTTGCCGTTGAGTCACCCCCGACTCATAGCGACCCCTCCTTGGGTTTCCGAGGCAGTATCACTACGGAAGTAGGATTGCCCAACCTTCCTTCCAAGGAGTGGCTGGTGGGTTTGAACCGCCAGCCTTCTGGTTAGCAGTCAAGTGCCTTAGGCATTATGCTACCAGAGCTCCTGAAATACAATAGTACATTGTATATTGTATATATATACAATATATTATATTTTCTTAAGAAAAGCTTTTAAACAAAGTATAAATCTTGGGACTTTTAAGGGGAAACATTTACATTTTCAGCATTAAATGTAGATCCATTTGAGTCTTAAAGCCAACAAAAAACTATTAAAAAAGCATTCTTGAAGAGATTGGTGTATGTTCTAGGTGTTTCTCCCTGGCTGGAAACCTTCCCTTTTGATTTTTTCTGGACAACTTTTAGGATATATATTCTTTTTTCAGAACATATATTATTAATTGCATACAGTAAAACCAAAACAGCAAACTCACTGCTGTCAAGTCAATTGCAATTCGTAGCAGCCCCTCCTTGGGTTTCTGAGGCGGTATCTCTAAGGAAATGGATCGCCCAGTCTTCCTTCTGAGCACTGGCTGGCTGGTGGGTTTGAACCACCAGCCTTCTGGTTAGTAGTCAAATGCCTAAGCACTCCGCCACCAGAGCTTAGTCCTCCCCCACCCCATCTGCAGTTTTGCTTTTTGTAATTTCAGTTACCAGTGGTCAAGTGATCTGAAAATAATTAAATTGCACGTTCTTGTGAGTAGCATGATAAAATCTCGCACAGTCCCCCTTTGCCTAGAGCCGGCTTCCTCCTCCACTGGGCGTGAGCCTGGAAAACATAGCTGCCCACCCAGCATCCAGTTGGTTAATGCTGCCTGCCTGGACACGCTGAGTACCTGTCATGTATATGTGAAGGAAAAAAACAGTATATATAGGTTTGGTACTATCCGGTTCAGGAATCTGCTGGGGGTCTTGGAACGAATCACCCCTACAGATAAGGGCGGACTACTGTATTTATCTTTTCACTTATGTTGTATTTCTTGCAGCTATGCCTTTGGTGGATTTTTTTCTAACATTTTGATGTCTGTTTACAGATAGGAGAAAGAATTCGAGTCATCTTGGACATGGAAGATAAGACTTTAGCTTTTGAACGTGGATATGAGTTCCTGGGGGTTGCCTTTAGAGGACTTCCAAAGGCCTGCTTATATCCAGCAGTGTCTGCTGTGTATGGCAACACAGAAGTGACTTTGGTTTACCTTGGAAAACCTTTGGATGGATGACAATGGCTTTGTTGGGATGAAAGACTGAGCAGAGGAGAGATCTACTTGTGGAAAGTAGAATCATGAAGTGACAGTGTCATACATGCATGTCCAAGAAACATCCTGAAAAACACATGAAATTGTAAACTGGAGAAGCAACTCTACAGCAGTGATCACCTTAGTGTTTCTTCTTTCTACTAGGCCAGAAAAATCCTCAGGGTTGCAGTTGGTTGAGTGGGCAGTTGACATATGCATGTTGCAACGGATTTTGTCTCTAAATTAGCAATGTGTTATTTCCAACTTTTAAGGTGAGATTTTAGAGATGCTGTAAAAGGGATAAGATAAGGAAATACCAAGATTTTTAAGTAGTGTGTTTGTGAAGAAAGACTGATCCCATTTTACAACTGCCTGTTCTTTCTCCAATCCCTTTTTTCCAGCCAGCTTGATAATTAGAAGAGTATGAAGCTGGTTAGGTTTTATTTAATATTTTTAATATATTGAGAAGCATGGTCTGCTTGGACTGCACTTCTCTAACAGTGAGATATAAAGTTGTGCAGCTATTTTAAAAGTTGTATATACAATATGTGTGTAAAAAAAACTATATATAAAAAAAGGACAAAGGGGTTGCTTTGTTCTAATTCATTTTCTTAAAAACCACTACATGGTCCAAAATAAGAGTAATATTTGGGGACAGAAACAGAGGAGAGGATTTTTAAAAGATGTGCTGTATTGCCTCATTTTGTATTGTATTTACAATTTCCATAGCTGTTATAATCTGGTGGTGTTTTTTGGCTGTTTTTTTTTTTTTTTCAATTCTTACTGTGATTTGGGTGAAAGTTGACAGAGCAAATTTGTTTTCCATACAGCAGTTCATGCACATTTTGTTTCAGGATACTGACTGCAATCCCAATGATATCGGTAGTGTGCCAGCTCTCTTCCCACTTCCTCCCCGTAGTTACCTCTTCCCTGTGTCGCTCCCTCCCATGCACTCCTACCCCTCAAACTATGTCCCTGTGCGTACACAGCCCTTGTGTTTTCCCGTGATTGGTCATTCTCAGGAGTGTATCTTACCTGATGTAAATGCTCACCCCATTTGCCCGTCTGTTACTTGGCTGGAAGCCATGGGAGTGAGTTCGGTTCCAGACCTGCAGGGTAACTAGGG